GAGTTGGCTAGATGCTCTCGCCTCGTGGCCCTTGACTCGCTTCCCAAAAACCGACAAAAGTGAAGTCCACACTCTCGCGCTCGCTTCCCCTCGATTCGTCGTGGAGAGTGTGGATGGGGGTTTACAAATTTACTGCTGAACACGTAGATAGAGTATAGAACTAGATGAGCTTCTAAAATAACAATAATAACTAAAGAGAGAAGGCATTAACGTGAAATACTAAAGTGCGAGCGAAACAGAGTATCAGGTTTTCTGTCTCTATTTGCGTATCGGGTTTTATTTGTTTACCTCCGAGCGCTTGGAGGTAAACAAAATGTCACCAATTTGCCACAATGTTGTTATAAATCTGTGAAACCCAAGTCAAACCCATATTAATTTAAGACTTTATCCTTATAAGAGGTGTATTTAAAGCGTCAGTCATGGTGAATTGTTGCATAATTGGCTATAAAAGCTGCTATAGTGAACGTAAAGAGCCAAACATAACCTTTCATGGTAAGTAGCTTATTTTGTCACCACTCAGTAACTTTGTTCAAGAATTATTCATTCGAATGTGTATTATGCAATATATTATATAATATATATTGTCAAAAATAAGCAATCTTCAATGAATCATGTTACCTACGTCAGGTAGTTGCCACACTTCGTGTCCTTTGTAAATAGTTGGATTATAACTCGTTGGGGCTACCAGCACTTGAATAAATTTTCCACTTTTTTCAGTTTTCCGAATGAACCGTTTTTAAATAATAAATGGACTTATTGTACCGGTAGATTAAACTGGCATCCAACTCAAAACGCCCGGATATGCTCAAGACACTTTAAAAAAAATGTTATAACCAAATAATAAAAATAATAATAATATTGTTATAATTGTTATTGTTTCTAACCCAACCAATGTAGACTGTACACTGTATACAGTGTAGTCGGTAGCCCTAGACTTCACGCACACTGCTGTGCTTGTACAAAAACGACGTCTGTATATTACACACACTTCCTATAATGAAATTCTATGGTGTATTAGGTAGAACAGTTACTACGCAGCGGTTGTATAGAGTGCTCGGGTGTGGTTTAATTTAACGTTACTGATTAATATGCGTGTGGAGTGAGTGAGCACCCACTGAAAAATTTTTTGTGGGGTATTTCTTATAGTAAAAATTACCCCACAAAATAGGGAAATTTTTTCTCGTGGCAATATTAGTGGCATTATGAAGTTATGTCAATCATTCGCTATCTCACACGCTGTACGCTGATGCCTGGGGGTCTAGCCAAGATGACTTAACAGTAGTGTATGTAGAAAGTCGAAAACTAAATTTGTATGAAAATGACAGCTCGTGTCGACAGTCGGTACTCGGTAGCCTAGGCCCTAAAGGCGTGAGTCGGGATACAATAAGCGACGCCATGACCGTGCTACGAAAAGACACACATTAACGTTTACGTTATTCGGTAGCCAACGGCCAATTAATGTTTCGGCAGTGTAGAAAAAACGGCGTTTCTCCGCCATGTTTTAGCGTGATCTCAAAAGCTGCTGTTTGCAATAATTCAGTACAACTACATATTGCCATCTTTAATGGCTACCGTTTTAAAAACATGTCATATTTTGGACGTTTTAACGAAATGGTTTTAATTTGTTATCTGTCTTTTTTTAACATTTTCGTGTAATTATAATAATTTAAACTAGAGTTAATATTTTTAAGTTAAGAGTTTTAGTTTTTCTATGAATCAATGCGAGGATAACATAATAGACACAGATAAATATGAAAATATCAAGAAAATCAGCAAATTAGTAGAGGTAAATCCTAGTTATATTGGATATCTTTTATTGATATTTATATTGCATGTAAGTTCATGAAATTATTCTTTAATTAGAAAAATACATATATCATTTAATATTGCATATATTATGTAATCACAAAGTAATATGATTGTACATTTTATTTGTATATTTCAGATGAGAAAGCAGTCACTAATAAACATAATTAGAAGTTCTAAATATATTTTATTGTAATTATAATAGAAGCTGATGATATAATATTGATTTAAATTAATCAAATAAAGTGGATTTATACTTTATGAACTTTGGAAATATAAAATCTAGTGAGCAATAGTATGTAATGGTAAGCAGATATTTTCTTTAATTATTTACTAAGTCAATATACTAGAGAAGTTATTATAATATTGTTTATGAACGAGAAGTTTGAATTCAAGTCCTTTGGGAGTTACTGACATTGTTTGGTTATTAAAAACTTCAATTGACAATAAGCAGCAAAGTGACAAAATTAGTATATTTTTAAGTTTAGAATTAAGTAAAGAGTTTTAATATTAAAGTTACCTATTGAACAAACCTTGGACCGATCTTACAATTTAGTTTGTCAGTTTTCTATTTGATCAAAGTACTAACTAAAATATTTTCTTTTCAGAAAAAGAGAAGCTAATAAGACAACTAAAAATATTAAAAAAAACCACAAATGGACAAGTTTTATTAAAGTCTTATCTTTTAATTAATTTAAGTGTTATATTATGTACCTGAAAATGAATTTGATAATGGGGAATGAAGCATTTTATGAATAATGTAAAAAATAAGACAAGTGGAGTATGAAATAATGGTTGGTTAAGTAACATTACCTCATGAACAGGAAACAGTAACTGAAACTATGTTCTTCCACATTTAATCTTAATAAGTTCAGCAGTTTGAATAATAATGAGATATTTTTATAAACAAACTGCATTTGTAGATTTTGGGAAGAATTATGTCTTTACAATAACTATTATTATTTACAATCACCCAGGATATATTCATAGTAACTGTAGGTATCATAGTAATTTTTTGAAATCATCACAACATCTAACGTTAGGTTTTATGAATTGAACATTTTTTTGTATATAACAGCACACAAACAAGATATTGACATTGCTGCAAATTAACACTTACATTTATTAGTTAATTATCTACATATATAAATATGAATACATCTACATTAGGTAGTAATGCATTGAATTTGGTGCACCTGTGTGTGTTCAGTAGTAATGTCTGTATTGTTTAATAAGTTGTTACATATGCTTATTCTTCTATGTAGACTGCATTATGTTAAGGAAGATATTTGGTGCCTTATTTTAATAAAAAATAACCATATCTGAAACATTTTTATTTTGCTACCTGTTTGTTTAATATTCCTAACTATTAGTAGGTACGGGTCATTCATATATGCATTATCTGTATATTCTTGTAAAATAAACTAATATTGTTAACCACTTTAATGGCTTTTCCTACCAAAGAAGACATAGGTAAATTACCAAAAATAAAACTGATAAATACATAACATACAATGTTTATTCATTTCTTACTTAAACAGATTTTGCATTTACATATTAACTAGTAGCAAATCACTAATATAACCAAAAGCTAATTGACATAAATATTAACTTAAAATCAGCATCAAACTTAAATTTATATCTAAGATGTTGGAGCATCAATATGGAATCAAAGGTTGATTAATAGACCACAAGCCCATGAACAAAAAATACCTGTGAAATGACCCAACGTGAATTACGCTTAGAAGGCTGTTACTATATCTGAAAATAACTCAGCACTATGCCGTAATTTCTGAGCGGTACATGTGAGTACGTGAGTGAATGGATTTCTCAGATACGAAGGAGGAATTTCGACTAATTATTAATGTACGGCTTTGTTATAAGTGTATAGATGATTAAAAATAAATGTCAAAAAACCTAGTGCCGTACTAAAGTGATAGTGCAGGATGTCGGTGCAAATTTTAATTCGACGATAGTTGCAGAAGCAATATAGGTCATTTATTACTGTACGGCATTTGTGTAATTCCTTTTGGACACATATACAGATACTTTACCCGTAAACGCCGTACATATTTCCAGCGGAGCGGTCGAAAGCCAAGGGTCGCAACATATGTCTGATTAGCATATAGGTGATGATGATATAGAAATATATTTTAAAAATAACATAAAGTCTTCTTTCAGTAAAATACCCTATCTACTATATTAAAGGTACTTTCCCTTCATATCCTATAACTTTGGGACGCCCTGTATTATATTTTTATTTTTGGTAAAAAATATTTTTCCTTTACCTCTCTCTGCTGGTATGACCTCATTAATGTGGTAAACAAACATAATTGGTTGAAAACTATTTACGCTTATTTTAAGTAAAATGGGATTTTGATTATTTCATTAACATTTTTTTATTGAAATAAGAGAAAACCTTTAAAGAATATAAGGTTTTAACAAGCTACATTAACAGTAAAATATTTAGTTTCATGTAAGAAGTTTACATCATTTACGTTTTTGAGTAATTTTTTAAATGATTTCTAAAAAAATTATATACTTTTTCAAAACCATTGCAATGTTTACAAAAGTATAATCCTGTAAAATAAATTCGTTTACAGATCCGAATTTTAAAATGAAATTGTATTCATATTTTAAATGTGGAATATAAAAAAAGTAACTATTTATACCTTCATCCATACTTATATTTTTTTTTATCAGTTTGAAATAACTTTAATTATTTTTAAAATCTACGACGAAACGAAAGCCTTACAAATTTTTCAACAATAAATAATATTTACTAACGAAAATTTCGATAAATGCCAACTTAAAGAAAAACACTGGTCAATTTTCTGTCACTGTGTTGGTATTGATTGCGAGAAGGACGCGAGAGCATTCGTTTTGAGAGTGCTCAATTGTGCGAAGCGTTGCTGTAGTTGGAACATTCAACGTTGAGCATTATGCCGCATAATGCGCTCTAGTGCTGTAATTGGAAAACGCACTTTACCTCTAGAGTCTAGGCTATTGTTATACTAGATCTGTGGTTAACAATAAAAAATCTAGTAATTTAATTCGAAATTTAAAATCAGGGGATATTGACCCTGAGCATACTGCAAATGCAAAACACAACGTCCTTCAGCAACATTGTTCAACTTCGGTCTTCGACTACCTGCTTGGCGGGTTTAAGGTCCATGGACGTGGCATAATTAAGAATGAAAAACGCATTTAAATTTCTCTTTGTGTTTCTATGTATCATTATCACCGAAACTGCAATAACTAATAAATCAAAAAATGTTCTGATACTCCTAGGTAAGGTTCATAATTATCAATTTAATAGAAGAGAAAATAAGAAAGAGCCTTTGACACTCTAGTTTTAGCTACTTAAAAGCCTATTGTTTTAATACTATCTTATAGTTTAGAATTCCATTTTATATGCTATAAAACTAGAAATTTGTCGAACTAATCTCCCAGTGTTACTCCCACAGCGGATGATGGAGGATTTGAACTTGGAGCATATGGAAACAAAATCTGCCAAACCCCAAACATAGATGCTCTTGCACGCCAAAGTGTCCTATTCGACAATGCCTTCACATCTGTGAGCAGCTGCTCTCCTAGGTTGTAAATGGTTCATTGTTTCTTTTGCTATTATTTAACATTTGATAAATTCTTTTTATACTTCATGTTTTATAAAGGCAGTAATTTTATCTTTGTTAAATGATTATAGTCAGGATAAATTTTCAGTCGTGCAGCACTTCTAACGGGTCAGCCGAGCCACCAGAATGGCATGTACGGTTTGCATCATGGAGTGCATCACTTCAACTCATTTGAAAATGTTACAAGCTTGCCCAATCTGCTCCGCGAGCATGGAATATTTACTGGTATGACATATAATGTGCTCGCAAATCAACAGTGTTTAATTTTTAACTCTTCAGTAATGTTCAGGTATTATTGGCAAAAAGCATGTGGGTCCAAGCAGCGTTTACAAGTTTGATTATGAGCAGACAGAAGAAAACAATCATATCAATCAAGTGGGGAGAAATATTACTCATATAAAGATGTTATCAAAAGAATTCCTTCATCGGGCAAATGAGATGAACAAGTGAGTATCATTGAGTAGTATTTCCTCCCCTAATATGATTTATTAATGAATACAACTATTACCTATTTATACCGTAGGCCATTTCTTCTGTATGTGGCGTTCCACGACCCGCATCGCTGCAGCCACAGTGAGATCGAGTATGGCGCGTTCTGTGAGCGCTGGGGGTCGGGCGAGATCGGTGCCGGTCTCATCCCTGACTGGAAACCCTGGTACTACCAGTGGGACGAAGTGGCTCTGCCTTATCACGTACAGGACACAGAAGCGGCCAGAAGAGATATTGCAGCGCAATACACCACCATGTCTAGGCTCGATCAAGGTAGAGATTCACAATACAATAAATATCATATTACCACACATACGCTAAGTGTTCTGTGACCGGATGCAGGCGTCGCCTTGGTGCTCAAGGAGTTGGAGGCTTCGGGCCACAAGGAGGACACTCTGGTGCTGTACTCGTCCGACAACGGCATTCCGTTCCCCTCGGGCCGCACCAATCTGTACGACTCGGGATTACGGGAACCACTGCTCATCTCTTCACCGGAGCCGAGCGCCAGAAGGAACGAGGTCTCTCACGCTATGGTCAGCTCGTTGGACGTCTTTCCCACCGTGCTGGACTGGTTCGGCATCCCGGCCGAAGAGCCGTCTAGCAACGACATCTGGTCCGCCGACGCACCGAAGTCTCTGCTGCGGATTTTGGAAAAGGGTTCGTACTCGTTCTGCGGTCCTCGGCGTCGGATCGACCGGTGAAGTGACGAGTGTCTGTTCGCCGACAGAGCCCGCCGGCCACGACGACGAGGCGGCCTTCGCGTCGCAGACGCACCACGAGATCACCATGTACTACCCGATGCGGGCGGTACGCACGCGCTCGCACAAGTTGATCCACAACCTCAACTTCGCGATGCCGTTCCCCATCGATCAGGACCTGTACGCGTCGGCGACCTTCCAAGATATCTTGAACCGTACCCGCGCCCGTCAGCCGCTGCCTTGGTACAAGACGCTGAAGCGCCACTACTACCGGCCGCAGTGGGAGCTGTACGACGTGCGCGCCGACCCCGCCGAGCTGCGTAACCTGCACGGCAAGCCGAAGCTGACCGCCCTCGAAGCCACGCTGCGGGAGCGACTTCGCGCCTGGCAGAGGCGCACGGGCGACCCTTGGCTGTGCGCGCCCGACGCCGTGCTCGTGCGCACGCCCGCCTCGCCCGACGACGTCTGCTCCGCCCTCGACAACGGGCTCGCCGCCTACTTGCACTGACCCAGTCTTAATAATATTCATTCGATTCACTTAGGTTTGTCGAACCGATGCGACTTCGAGGCCTTCGAGAAAGGTCCCTCGTTTTAACTTGCCACCGTGGCATTTCATTAAATAGTTATTTTTTGTCTAAATAATAAAAAACTAAATCAGTTGGATAATGGTTTATTTACACGAGTAGCATTTACGACATTTACACTGAAAAAATAATTAAAGAAAATTTAAATACATTCTTACATATCACATGAGTCAAAACAAATCGGCACTACTGAGCGTAAGTTAAAACTAAGAAGAGATCCCAAGTTACCACCTAAATAAATTAATTAGAAAATAAATATTCAGTCTTTTGATACATAATTAATGGTGTAAACATAATATATATATATATATATAGCCTCGTAATCGTTACTATACGGTCATATTTTAAATTTTTATTAAGTCACAAAGGAGCTAGATTATCTATTTTTAAAACTTTTAATTTTTTAGTAAGTATATATTAATATCATAATAGATTTATTTTAATTTATACAATACTAGTGACTCTCATGGGCAACCGTGACGCGTAAATCTTGAAATTTTGTATGTACCTAAACCTTCCTCGTGAACCATTCTAGATGTTAATGAAAACCTTTTTGTGAGTTTAACGCAAACAGATCGACGGGGCGGAGGACTCCTTTCAAAAATATAAAAGTTAAGACGTTATCGAGCTCTGACTCAATCGCGTCTCTCTCATGGTTAAGGCAGCTTAGCATTCGTGAAAAACGACTTACTTTGTCCCACGTAAGTCTTTATATTAGGTCCTTACATATGAAATTGGCGTATTTCGTACTGGCCTAAAGTGGCCAAGTACGAAATCACGATGTGAGGAGAACAGTTTAGTAAGGAATTCCAAATTCAAATTTGTACAGCTATTTACTCATGCACTTGTGCTTCGATGACCGTCATTCATTTGTTTTTTTCTTCTGATTTTTTCTGTTTGCGTCACTCATTTTACAAAATGGAAAACTTAAAGTATCGCATTATTTACGAGTATGAGTTCAGCCGTGGCACTAGTGCTGCGGAAACGACTCGAAGGGTGAATGATGTGTATGGCGGTCATGTTGCAAAAGAAAACACAGTTCGTTTTTGGTTCCAACGTTTTCGTTCTGGAAATTTCGACCTGCAGAACAAGCCCCGTGGACGGCCTGTGACCCAAGTTGATAATGAAGTATTGAAGGCTATTGTGGAAGCGGATCTATCGCAAACCACGTCCGAGTTAGCTGCAGGCTGCGGTGTTAGTGATAAAACTGTTTTAATTCACTTGAAGCAAATTGGGAAGATTAAAAAGCTTGAAAGATGGGTACCTCACGAATTGACTGAAGCCAACCGGCAAACGCGCGTCGACTGCTGCGTTACATTACTGAACCGGCACAATAATGAAGGTATTTTAAACCGAATCATTACCTGTGATGAAAAATGGATTCTTTACGATAATCGGAAGCGCTCAGCGCAATGGTTGGATTCTGGCCAGCCAGCCAAATCCTGCCCAAGCGAAAATTAACCCCAAAAAAGTTACTTGTATGCGTTTGGTAGACTAGTGCCGGTATTGTTCATTGCAGTTTTCTCAAATCTGGCCAGACTATTACGGCTGATGTCTATTGTCAGCAATTGCAAACCATGATGGAAAAGCTAGCGGCTAAACAACCTAGGCTGGTCAATCGCTCCACGCCACTGCTACTTCACGACAACGCTAGATCACACACTGCACAACAGACGGCTACCAAATTAGAAGAGCTTCAATTGGAATGTCTAAGACATCCTCCGTACTCCCCGGACCTTGCTCCAACAGATTACCATTTTTTTTCGAAATTTGGACAACTTCTTGCAAGGGAAAAAATTTATTTCTCATGGGGCAGTCCAAATCGCCTTCACTGATTTTATTGATTCCCGTCCGACTGTTTTTTTTAGTAAAGGGATCAATAATCAAAAAAAGTAAGAACTACCTATGAGATGGCAAAAGTGCATAGAAAACAATGGTTCACACTTTGATTAATTAAATATATTATATTTAAAAAAGGGTGCGTGTACTTATGTACCCTAAGAAGTTATACTTCTTTGGCATTATTAAAAATAGTTTTTGATTGCATGCAAATAATTAATTACAATTAAATAATCAAAACTGGAAAAGGAGTCATTAAACCAATAAAGTTCAGTTTACATTTGAAAAATTAATTAAATAAATATTTATTATTATTCTCTTACATTAAACAAATAAAACACTATTTATCTTTAAAACATTTTTATTTCATTATACTATTTATTTTTAAGTGACTCTAATGTCTTCATCAAATTTCGGTTTGTAATTTTAAATTAATCATTACTTGGTTGTGCATCTATGAGGCTTCTCCAAAACTACTTGCTTTCTCAACAAATAAGAGAATATTAATAAGCTCTTCCATCAAAACTTAAAATTTTTTTTTCATATTATAAATTTTTAACACATTTATATTAATATAATTATATAAATGTGTTAATAATATAATTTGTAGCACATGCTACAACCTGATAGCAACTTTCTTTTATTCTATTTAGAGATAGAGATAATTTAAATATAATACCGGTGTCTTCCTTGTAGGTTTCTTTGGAGTTGTTTGGGGATTCTTGTTGTTCAGTTCGACATGATTTTCTTTAACCTTTCTTTAATCCTACAAAATAATGAAATTGTTAAGTTATGTTGTCACTGTTGTGCACACCTTTGTTTGGCTTTTTTAGTATTCAAGTTATGTCAAAACTGATTTATTACCTTTCATTGTTGGCTTTATTTGCTTTTGGGATATCAATTGTTTCCAAAATGATTTTATTTGTAATAACCTGAAATATATAAATAACATCTATTAATTTAAGTATCATGGTGAGTGGTTCGCACTCAGTTTAAGGTGTATTATACCCACTGTCCATTATAAGTGGGAATGGGCTCACTTCTGCAGGACAGAGTTTCGGTACTACAAGTGCAACATGGATGTTTTGAGGTATTACAATATCTCTAACTACCCTGTAGGGGATAAAGTAATGTTGTAACATATGCCTTCTTGAAAGGTTGAACCTTAACATCACCTACTCATATTTATAATTAACATTCCTACCTCGCACCATCACAATCAATTCATTGAAATCTACTTCAAACATTGTGTCTCGAGAAGGTGATGGTGGCTTTTTCCACCTCCAGTTTTTGATGTTTCACGGCGATAAGATGACAACTCTTTTTTTTATTCAATTTATCCTTCCACTGATTCATCAATTGTTTTTTGTCTCTTTCCTTATATCTTCTTCTATTGACAACATTAGATTATAAGACCTTGGAAAAATTCCAAATAATATTTATTTAAATTAGATAATAGGACAACAGAGCACCACTCTTGCAATAATAAGGTAAGTATATTATGTGATAAAATTCATTCCCAAAAATTTTGTGGTTCATCAAATTACAGGGATGAAAATAAAGAATTAGATTGATATTCTTGAATAGTCAAAAATAGACTTTTTCTAACAGAGCACTGGTTAAAAAAATATGAAGTTTTGTTTAATTTTTGTAACCACAGGGTTGGTAGTGTGTTTTGCAGAGAAAATCAATTCATGGTGGCTCTTAATCCTAATAAGTAAAAAACTTAAATGCAAAGAAAGAAGGATATTATCAGCCTCTCTTAAACTAACTATTGAAATCTCCTGTTGGAACTGGAGCAATTCATTTTGTATGTCTATATTGTCCTCCATCAGCTGTCTATAATAATGTTGAAAATGTATTAGAGGAGATATTGTGTAAATTAGTAAAGTGTAATAAAGGGCTAATTGTGTGTGGGGACTTTAATGTCAATTTACTTTGTCATTCTAATTCAATTACCATACTTAGTCTTTTTCTTCATACAATTTAATAAATCAATTTCATTCACCCACAAGAATAACACTAGCACCGCAACTTGTATAGTTTATATAGTGACATAGCCCCTTTGAATGTTTGTATTTTCAATAGATTTAATCGATCACACTGGTCAATGTTTGAATTCCAATTAAGGAAACAAAAACATGTAAAAAGAAGAAAATTGTGATAACTCCTATTACAAATACCGTTTGGACAGATTTAGAGAAGCATTGGTCTATAGAATGCCATTTCTGTGTGGCAACTCATCCCCTATATTTTACATACTTTTTGGATCATTTATTGATGAATTCAAAAAGTATTTACTCAAAAGACTTTATTGGTCTCTGAGAAAACAAGTTTCTGTGACTGGGCAAATGAGGAGTTACACAGGAAAAGGTTAAAATTATATGAAATCTATGACGAAATGCTTAACACTATTGGAATTTAGGAATATGTTAGGTTGTATTCAAATAATTTCAAAAAAGATTGCAAACTCAAAGTCTCAATATTTAAGTTCAAAAATAAAAAATACATGGATAAAGTAAAACTACCTGGAAATATAATGAAGAATCAGGTAAAACTCACAAACGAACTGATTATATGTTAAAAGTTAAAGGGAAGTTAATATCTCCAAGGTAGCTTCTTCTTTTAAGAGTTCTTTACAAATTACCACTAATACGACCAAGTCCCAGATTCTTCACCTCTCGCATTCATTCTAGAAAAATGTGTCCTGATTAATTTAAATTTCAGTTTAAACATATAACTTGTAATGATATCGTTAAAACTTTTAAGCTTATTAATTTAAAAAAAGTAAAGATATATGGGGTATGTCAACAGTCATTTTAAATTCCGTTATTAATGTAATAAGCCCTGAATTGTCTATAATTTTTAACAGATGTATCGATTGTGGAGTCTTTCCGGACGAAATGAAATTAAGTAAGATTACACCGTTGTTCAAGCCGGTAGTAGTCTATCCGTAATTCAGACCTGTTTCCGTGCTCCCTGCGTTGAGCAAAGTTTTTGAAAATATCTAACCACTTTCTTTACATTTTAATAAAAATAAATCTTACATAATAAACATATGGTTTCACTAAGGGTCGCTCCACAA